GCGGTATTACTATAGTTGATAGTTAATCATGGTCAAGGTCTTAAAGGTTCACTTTCCAATACACTCTTAACATTTTTTTTGCAATCGAGCAACTCGATATCGCTAATTACGTTTATACGCGCGCGCATTAAATTATCATTGTATAACTTTTACCGCGAAGGTATGCAAGAATGAACGCGTCAATTCTGATAATATTCGAAATGTTGATAAATATACGTCAATAGACGAGAAATACATAACGTTTATAAAAGAATGAAAAGATATTTATTATTCGATACATTATATTTTGTTTTATAATATTTGTCTTTAATACTTTATATTTAAGTAAATAATATTAATGGACTTTATTAAACATTCTGACATTATTTATTGATCAATCAAATATGATTGTTATATACGCGAATTTAGGTACAATGTTCTATATTGTATTTTATGTGCCTTTGTGAGAGCAAAAATACTAGTTTCTTTGTTCGCAAAGTGCAATGGCTTAAAAAATACTTTTCAAGAAGTAAATCGACTGAATTTCTAATTATTTTTTCTATTAGGTGGATCGGCTGGTGCCGTAGTGGCTTCTAGATTGAGCGACATACCCGAGTGGAAAGTTTTACTTCTCGAAGCAGGTCCTGATGAGCCACCAGGCGCTGACGTTCCCAGTATGGTAGCGATGTTTCTCGGTAAGTTTCACCAGGAAATCTTAATTAACTCGGTAACGTGACTAGATATTTAGAAGTGAAAGGCTGCATATTTATAAAGTACTTTTGATAACAACAGAAAAAATTACAATCCATATGTAAACCACAATACCACAATATGTAAATATTGAAACATATCAATTGAGGGGAATGTATATTTCTGCGAGTCTGGTCGACAAGTTTCTTCACATTACTTGCATATGCTCGTTTGTTTTAATTTGAAATTAATTAATAATTATTTATTTCTATTGGTAGGTAGCGAAATTGATTGGCAATATAGAACTTCAAACGAGAAAAACGCTTGTTTATCAAGTGGTGGGTCATGCAGTTGGCCACGTGGTAAAAATTTAGGTGGAACTTCGGTGCATAACGGTATGATGTATACCCGTGGACAACCCAAGGATTATGATAATTGGGCCGCCCTTGGAAATAGTGGATGGTCTTGGCAAGAGGTACCTATGCATATTAACAAATAATATTTATGTTAACCGTAAAACATTTTTGATCGATTTACGAGGAAGCATAACATTTAATTAATTAAAAAGTAATTTAAGACAATTAATGTTATTTTAATTAGATTGGAAAGATAACTAATTTATTTATTGATTCTTTCAGTATATGAGAGAAATGAAATCATCGTAACGTATTAACATATTAAATTCATGTTTTTTTTCGAACAATAATTGGATATCATTTGTTAACCGTAAAACATTTTTGATCGATTTACGAGGAAGCATAACATTTAATTAAATAAAAAATAATTTAAGACATTTTATGTTATTTTAATTAGATTGGAAAGATAACTAATTTATTTATTGATTCTTTCAGTATATGAGAGAAATGAAATCATGTTTTTTTTCGAACAATAATTGGATATCATTTTGTGTAGCTTACTTTTCGATAAAAAATAAAGAAACAATACAATAAAATCTTAAATAAAAAATATAATACAATTTAATCTTGAAGTAATATTTGAAAGTACGTCTAAGAATTTTGGATTAAAGAAACGAACCAAGAAAATCTTGAGATCAACGGAAAGCATAAACGTTAAATTGTCCGAGACTTATTTATATTTTTTACATAACTATTTTTATAAGTTCATAAAGAAAGAACAACAAAGAACATTAAAGTAGAGCGAACTATGAGTATTTAAAATTAAAATAAAGAAGCGTTTCATAATCGACAACGTTGAAGGGAAGCGTGTGAGAATAATCCACGTAACAATGATCCTCTTATGCTTAACTCACTCATGATACACTTTCTCATATTTTCATCAGGTGTTGCCATACTTCATGTGCTCGGAAAATAACACGGAAATTGATCGAGTTGGTAATGAATACCATTCTTCCGGTGGTCTATGGACTATCGAAAGATTCCCCTGGAAACCTGAAATTACTCGCGATATTTTGAATGCAGCCAGAGAGAGAGGATATCCAATTACGGAAGATCATAATGGAGCTGAATACATGGGTTTCACGGTAGCTCAGATGGCTAGTAAGGATGGAGTTAGAGTAAGCAGCGCTTCAGCTTTTTTACGTCCTATGCGCAATCGACGTAATCTTCACATTGCCCTAAACGCTACTGCCACCAAAATCATCGTTGAAAATTACAAGGCTGTCGGAGTTCAATATTTTCAAGTAAAAATTGATTGTTTTTATCGATGGCTATTATTTAAATAATTACTTCGATAAAAATTTATCTGTCTTTCAGAATGGGGAATTCCGCATTGCACGAGCTTCTCGTGAAATTATTGTCTCTGGAGGAGCAGTAAATTCTCCTCAATTATTATTGTTATCTGGAATTGGTCCGAAAGAACATTTACAAGCCGTCAATGTCTCCCTCGTTAAAGATTTACCAGGAGTCGGACACAACTTACAGAATCACGTGTCGTATACTCTTTCTTGGACTATTAATCAACCAAACGTATTTGATTTAAATTGGGCCTCTCTCCTAGAATATGTTGCTTTCCATAAAGGACCAATGTCTTCGACCGGAATGTCCCAAATTACAGGATTTGTATCATCGAGTTATACTGCTCCGGATGAACCTGATCTTCAGTTTTATTTTGGTGGATATCAAGCCGCTTGCTCAATTACTGGTGAGATAGGAGCACTTATGGACAATCAAGGCCGTAGTATTAGTATATCTCCGACAAATATTCATCCACGTAGTCGAGGTAATCTTTATACTTCAATTTGATATTTTATTAAATAATTATTTATATTGTAAACATGAAAAAATGGTGATTAATTTTAAATCGATTGACTCGTTTCATTTTTACCATATTGTATTCATATATTTTCAGGAATTCTTCGATTAGCTAATAATAATCCATTTGAAAAGCCGCTTATTTGGGGAAACTATTTAAGCGATCCGATCGATGCCGCTGTTTTGGTTGAAGGCATACAAATCGCATTATCTTTCGCTAATACGTCTGCAATGGCAAAATATAATATGAGTCTCAGTAATACACCATTATCTGCGTGTTCTCAACATAAGTTTCTCAGTAATGAGTATTGGAATTGTGCGATACATCAGGATACAGGTCCTGAAAATCATCAAGCAGGATCTTGCAAGATGGGACCACCGACCGATCCAATGGCTGTAGTGGATTCTCGACTTAGAGTTTATGGTATCAAAAATCTACGAGTAGCCGATACATCAATAATGCCACAGGTGAATAATTACACATATTAGGAAATTAAGATTGTATCAATTATTTCTAGGTTATTTTTCGAAAATGAATCTAACTTATTATTATTATCACATTATTTGAAGGTCACTTCCGGTAACACTGGTGCTCCAGCAGTTATGATCGGAGAGAGAGCGGCAGCGTTCATTAAATCCGACTGGGGTGCTGGCGCAACACAATGGTACGGGAAAGCTACAACCTTTAGGAAAAACTTCCAATGGAAAGGCCATTAGTCATCAGCAATTTACAATGTTTCCTAGTTCTCATTCGACGATCGACAGTTCACTGGAATTCTTGCTATGGGGGATCAAATACATCGACTGGGACCAGGCTATTTGGTAGTAGCAATCTCGCATTCCTGGCTCGACTTCTAGTCCATGAAACATCGACTTTCTCAAAGCTATGTGACGTAGATGCGCCAATGCGAGGCGACGAAAAAGACGAAACGGATCCAGCGGGATGCCCGCAGCGAACTGCCGTGAAACCATCTTCTTTTCTTTCTTCCTTTCTTATGGCTACGTAGATACTACCTAATATATATCCCAGTGAATCGGTATAAATGAAACACTAACACAATCAAACGAAAAGATACCACAACGATGTCTCTTATCTCTAAAAAAACTGACAAGAAATTTATAAAACTAATTCTTTTGCGTTTGGTTCTATCCGTATGCAACTACTAACACAACAAGAACTCGTTGAAAAATTAATTTTTTGTTGTTTTATGACATATTTCGACAACGGGGCCTTCAAACTTATTATCTTGATTAATGATTCGTTCAAAAAAAGCCGCTCCTATTTATTTACTGATTAATTATTTTCAAAGAACCAATAGACACACGACGAAATATACGTTCGTTATAATTTTTATTTGCAAAGAAGCGTAATTATCTTTATTTTTTTTTTTTTTTTAATTCTTTGTGTAATCTCATCCACTAAATTGTCACTTAAGCAGATTATATTTGCTTAGTCTACACTATATAATATCAGAAGCGAATTTAACAAGATAATTTACACACTAATATCAACGTAGCGGAAGTCTGACATTTCTTGGCGATTGCCATTATCAGAACCAAAGATTTCGGGAACTAAGGAAATAATAATGTAAAAATAAGTATGTAAAATAAAAAAAAAATTATTAGACGGAAAAAAAATATTGATTATCGGGAAGTTGAGTGTTAAAGTGTAGATAATCGAAAAAGAATGTAAATAAAAGTGTAATGATGCTATATTGGAATTATGCATCGATCCTTGCAATATAATGATTTTTTGCCTGATAATTAATGCTTTTGTTATTGAAACCTTTGAGGCTTCATTAATTATTTACATTTCAAAATTTTATGACTTGTGTGCAAACTTAACTAATTCTTGTGTTTATTGAAATATATGACACCAATTATGATCAATGGAATTTTAAAACAACCAGAATTCATTAGCAAATATCATATATGTAAGTGATTTAAAACGCGGAAAGTCCCTTGTGTTAGGTGCTTCAGAGAAACGGCACCAAAAGTGATTATTCTATTCGTATGTCCTGATAATACATACGCAGTATAATATATAACATCGTGTAATCACATACGAGCGTTTCGGTGAATATATCAGCTGAAATTACAGCTATATAAGTAAAGAACACGCAGTAATCTTGTGTAGTCGTCAAGAGTTCGTTGCAACACGTCTTTTAAATAAATCCGGCAGGAAAAATCAACCAATTCAAAATGGTACGTCTTTGTTCACTACGATTTTCTTATTAATTCCTATGACTTTTGATATTCAACATTGTTCAATCCTTCACGCTGCTATTTTCTTACATGATATTTAATTATACATAATACATAATTTTTATATAATTATTAAATACTTTAGATGCATGACATATTTTTGACACTCTGATCAGCGTGTATATCGCTAATTAATTTTTGGTAGCTGTCGAATTTCTTATGCTGCCATCGTTTATTATATCACTGACCTTTCTTTCATACTGTAATTATAATATACGATATCTTTAAAAAAAATATGAACTAAAAACAAAAACATTTTTGTCATCGTGTGACTCCCATTTTACTATTTAGTGTTTTCCTTAAGAGATTTGACGTATCTTTTAAAACAGTAAAGGTATTTGTATATTTAATGTATACATGCAATTATCGGGAAAAAATAATTGAAAGTAATTATTTTAATAACGCCATTTAAAATTGACGTTGCAAAATTGCACATAATTAGTTTTGGCTTATATTCGTTAGCTAACGTGAAACACTGTCTACGTGACAACGGACGACAAAGATTTCTTGCAAAAGTTCTTTCTCCGAATAAATTTGATCTTTAAATTAAGATGAGGGTAAAATGATTATCGTGGTAATAACAGTATAAATTCACGGAAACTATATATAATTATGTTGATTCTACGATTTTAGGCATTGAGTGATTTGGGGGTGGAGAGCCCTAATTGCTCTCAACCATTTTTGGGAGGACTAACGATGCCTGACGTCTGCGTTACCAATCATTTAGCATTATTCCTTCCGTTGCTCAGCACTTTAGTAACTTATCATCCTAAAATAGGCGATCCCTGTGGACGAGTTAAGCCTGTGAAAAAACCTGATATAAATTATGATTTTATTGTTGTAGGAGGTAAGGTGGCAAAAATATTGAAAGATCGATTAATTGTATATTTCTAAATACATCAACTTAACATATAAGCATGAATCAATTCCAGCTGGAGCCGCTGGGCCAGTAGTAGCAGAACGATTGAGTGAAAATCCTGACTGGAAGGTACTTTTGATAGAAGCTGGAGACGATGAGCCAGCTGGTGCAGAAATTCCAAGTTATCTTCAAGCTTATCTCGGTAAAATATATTTTTATGAATTTTCCTAAATACATATAATTGTCCAAATTAAAACGTTTGAGGAAAAACCAAAGTGTTTTGTGTTTTCTAGGAACTTCAATGGATTGGAATTATAAAACGTCGGATGAGCCATACGCCTGCTTAGCCAATAATAGAAGTTGTAATTGGCCGAGAGGTAAGAATATGGGTGGTTGTACTGCTCATCATGGTATGGCCTATCATCGAGGACATGCTAAGGATTACGAGCGTTGGGTAAAAATGGGTTCCACTGGCTGGTCCTGGAACGAGGTAACAATTACATATAAAAGCATTAAATGATTTTTAAAAATTTTCTAATGTGCCGCTGGACATTAAAGACGCGTATCAAATTTTATTTAGAAAAGGTAAAGATTTAATTTCTTTAATGCAATGATTGCAGGTTTTACCGTATTTCTTAATGTCAGAGGACAATCGAGAAATTGGTAGAGTTAGTGAAAAATATCATGGTACCGGTGGCATCATGACAGTAGAGAGGTTTATATTATTTTTTTTTAATTAATAAATTTCCATTTTATATTAATACGTTGAATGCTACACCAGTTTGATATTTTATATCGTATAGGTCATGATTATTAACATTATATATAAAACAATATAGAAACGCCGTTCACCATAGATCCATACAGTGCCACGGACAAAGTTAAATATCAGTCCCCAGTGATCACAGTAGCATTTAACGTGAATGTAAAACAACATAGAAATAATAATATGCGTATAAATTCGTATATTAAATGAAAAATGATTTGATTAGATTCCCATGGCAACCACCATTCGCTTGGGACATTCTCAAAGCAGCCAATGAAACAAAATACGGAGTGAGCGAAGATTTGGTAGGGGACAAAATAACAGGATTCACAGTGGCTCAAACTTTGAGCAAGGATGGTGTGAGACAAAGTACCGCTGCTGCATATCTCAGGCCATACAGAAATAGAAAGAATCTCCATGTTCTCTTGAACGCAACTGTCACTACAGTACTTACAAGGAATAAGAAAGCTTATGCCGTGAAATATGTTCTGGTAAGAAAGAAGAATTTATTACACTACTACTTTTTGGTGTGAAAACAGAAACTAATGCGTCATGTAGATATTTATTTATTACTTTATTTCATATTCATGACTTTCTTATTTATTGCTAATACAATATTAATCAGAAATAATTTTTCTTTAACAATGTTAAAAAAACGTTATCAAAATAGCACAATAGTTTCCTTTTCTTCTTAGAAATATTCTTATCGCAAAATTCATAAAAACTTTTACTGCTTACAAACGTCATACTTTACAAAGAAACGATACGGAAGTATAAATAATTTATTGCGATAATGATAATAATTACATTTGTTCCTTTTCAGAATAAAAGAATTTATACAGTTAAAGCAAGACGTGAAATAATATTATCAGCGGGAGCAATAAACTCGCCGAAAATCTTACTTGATTCTGGAATTGGTCCAAAAGATCACTTGAAGTCTGTCAAAGTTCCGGTGGTTCATGATTTACCAGGAGTCGGAGAGAATCTACATAATCACGTTTCTTATGGCCTAGATTTCAATTTAGACGGACCAGTAGAACAGGAATTGAACGTTGATTCTGCCGATTTATATTTGTACAATCAAACCGGACCGTTATCATCAACCGGTTTGGCTCAAGTAACCGGTATAATTGCTTCAAATTTTACCACTGAAGATGATCCTGACATTCAAATATTCTTTGCTGGATACCAAGCTACCTGTACTAGCAAACAAACTATTGCCGATTTACAAGTGACCAATAACAAACAAACTGTCAGAATGACATCTGTAAATATTCAATCTAGGAGTAGAGGTAATTTTGAATGTTTTCACTTTCTATTTTCGGATATTACTTTTCTATCTCCATTATTTCAGGATACATAAGGTTAAGGAATAACAAATCGGAAAGTCTACCCTATATTCGTAGTAACGAATTAGAACATTTTGAAGATAAGGCGATCATTGTTGCTGGAATTCGAGTAATTCAAGCTATTGCTAATACAACCGTAATGCAGAAACGAAATTTGAAACTGATTAAACAGATATCAGAACCATGTTCTAAATATGAATATGACAGCGATGATTATTGGATGTGTGAAATACAATGGAATACGAGACCAGAGAATCATCAAGCTGGAAGTTGTAAAATGGGTCCAATAAGCGATCCAATGGCTGTTGTTGACCCTAAATTAAAAGTTCATGGTATTGAAGGATTGAGAGTAGCTGATGCATCAATTATGCCACAAGTAAGGATTTTAATTGACAGGTCAGATATCAACCTCTAACTCCTAAATAATTATTTTTGACAAATTACAGGTCGTTTCTGGTAATCCCGTTGCTGCGATCAATATGATCGGTGAAAGATGCGCAGACTTCATCAAGAAAAAATACTTGGAATAAAATTACTTTATTATGTAAGGCTATTATAATGTATAGTAAAAAATTAAATTACGACTAAATAAATTCAATAATTAATTAAAATCATAATATAAAAAACAGCTGGTTACTTGCTTTATTTATTATAAATTATTAATACAATATTTTCGCGTATTTCATTGTTACTACAAGATTTTTAGTGGATGATAAAATGGATAAGAATGCACATCCACTTTTGCGAAGGTTATACTTATGTTATTTCGCATATCAGTTATTGAGATAGAAAGGAAGGAAAATGCAGTAACGGGAAATGGGGTGGAGAATGAGGAGAAGAAGGGATAGGAGGTTGGGAAAATGGTTCGGTATATAAGGAGACAGTGGTTATGTTGGTGGTCGTAGAAGGTGGAAGCATGGAGAGGTCCACTCGACCTCCTTAAACTCACGAGCTTATACGGGAGAGCGATTTCGTGACCCTTCGCCTGACCTCTCCGGCTACTCATACATCCGGACTCTTTTGAGGTTAGATACAGGGTAACTACTGCCAAGATAACGTTTCTTCTACGAATATTTAGATCGTTTGAAAATTATTTTGATTTATTTCAGATAAGAACTTATCTATGTTAATATTTTTCCAATTAGTATTTGTTATTTAAATTCTAACGTTTTTAGTCAAATTCATAGTTAATACTAGTCACAAATATTTCAAAAAAAAAATATATATATATACACAAATTCCTATAATTTTACTAAGTCCTTTTATCATCATGCTTTAAACAGTAAACATCTCAACCAAAGAATCGATAATGAAATTGTGAAAGTTTTTTAATTACGCGAACAGTAAAAGTACTTCATTTGAGAGAAAATGTGTTTCTGCTTTCATGTTATTTCACATTAAGAATGATCAACAATAGTTAAAGAGTAATCTGCTGATATGTTGTTAGATAAATTTTTAATCATTAATTATAACTTTATAATTAATACTATTATACAAATTGAAAAAAAAAAACTATATCAATAAAAACTCGGACAATTATTAGTGTTGATGAGTCGATATATCGAATAAAGAGAAAAATTTGGATAGAATCACTGAATTCTAGTTGAGAAAGAAAAAAGGAAGAAAATATGCTCGATATGAGTTATACGCGCAAGTTGTACAAGTCCGAGCAGATGATGAGATAAACAAATTATAAATAAAACATCGAATATCGTGACGATGTAGACTAGGCATCCATTCGCAACCATACACCATACTATACGCATTCCTCGTCATTCTCGTCGCCATCCTCGACGTCGTCCCCAACATTGTCGTCGTAGTCGTAGTCGTCGTCGTCGTCGTCGTCGTCGTCGTAGTCGAGCCAGGAGCGTAACGACTGCTTTGAATTTCATGAGGGTGCGAATGAATTCATGGTGGGATGGCGCAGCTGGCCCCGGAGACTCGACTACTTCAAATGCCTCCTCTGGCCTCTCTTCTCTCTCTTTCTCTTTCTCTTTCTTTCTTTCTCTACACTCTTACGCCTCCACCTCTACTATTCACACCAACCAGACGGAGTAATTCGTTAAATCTTTCTTGTATGATGACTAGTTTTTTTATCATTCCTTCGTGATTTTTATCCAAATCTAGCTTGCAATATTCTCGAGATGAAAGTTTTTTCATCATAAAAATACGTAAACTTTTTTAAATTATTTTTTAACGCGAAAATATCGTTTAAATAATTTGAGATTTTCAAGTGTGTCAATATTAACGTGAAATATCATCTGTAATAAAGATCTTATTGCATTTTTCTAAGACTCGTTCGAAATTCTTGATTTATGTAAATTTGAAACGATGCTGAATAAGAGATAGAAGGGGAAACGATTTTTATGTGTATCTGGTTGATAGAAATAGGATTTAGTAGTTACAGAAGTTGGATAAAGCCAATAAAAGAGAACTGTTTCCGTAAGAATCCCCAAAATCGCGATCCTAATACTTTATCTTTCTCTTGCTTTCCTTTCTTTACTCTTTCTCTTTTTCTTTTTTTTTTTATCTCACTTTCTCGGAATCCGATTAAATTGCACGAGCTTTTCCCACTCGTTATAACAAAATTTCTGCCGCCTCGTTACATTCTACTGTTGGCACGCTTTGATGCTACAATTTATAACTTTCGAAGCTGTTAATCAAATATTCTATGAAACACAACACTTTTATCAAAATTGTTCATGTTCACGACCAAGAAAAGAAGATAAACGAAAAGCAAATGATTAATCAATTGTCATTTATAAGTGGTATTCATTTATTTATTATAATGTTACTTATAAGATGTATTAAATCAAACGTTTTTATTCGAATATGTTTTATCTTTACATACTATGGTGATTCTAATATTTTTAATTACTTAACGATTTCATATTTATTATTACTTTTGAAAATAAAGACATGTTTAACTTGTGTACCGATTCACTTGATATTATTAATGCCGTTTAAAAAAAATTTAATTTACAACAGGAGATTTTCATTAATCAGACTTTTTAAATATGATTGAATATTATCAAACTTCCCATAGATAATCAGTCGGCCGCAAATTAAGTACGTACGACGTATAATTGAACTTTTGATTAAAATACCAAAGTAATTATAGACCAGAGATAATCGACGAATAATGGAGTTTTATTACCAAACTATAATTAAAATAATTACACTCTATTAAAATAAACCTACGTATTGGGGTTGTAGAAAAGTGATATAAAGTTAGATAGATTCAATTACGTTGCATAGCAGGAAGATGAAGATAAAATTGGAAATCAACGTTTAAAATCTTTCAACAAAATTACACGAATGAGGAAGATTGTGACAGTTCGAAGCGCCTTTATGTCTTTTAGTGTACGAACAAATTCATGTACATTTGACGTGTCGGGGATCAAGACGACAAATCCGTGACGGTAGCTCACTGTCGTCGGTCCACTGAGCCGCGACAAAACGGGATAGAGAAAGAGAAAGAGAGAAGAGTAGAGAGAAAGAGAAACTGAAAGTAAACGTTTGGAGAAGGGAGGATCGCGAGGCGTCTCTAAGCTAGGTAGGCTTAAGGAAACGTAACTCAGCTCGGTAACGGGGCTAAAATATTTTGTCGTAGCCTCGTTATTTATCCTGCCAGAGAGAAAGTTGTTGTTCTCGACGGTAGTCGTAATAGATGTCCTACAAGGCGTACAAGGACGTTCTTTGGGACGATTTGGTCTTTCTGTTCACAAAAATGTATGTGTTTGTGTGTATATGTGGTTATAGATGTATGTGCGCGCGCACGTGTATCTTCGTAAGCGTCGAAAGAAAAGGGGTAGAGTGTTCGAAATGGCACCGGTCTTGAAATCCGCGTCGTTATCCAACTTGGCGCACTCATCCTTTTCCCTCTCACATCTTTTTTTTCTTCTTTTTCTTTTTATTCCTTTCTATCTCTTTCTCTTCTTCCTCATTTTTTTCCTGTTTTTTTTTCTTTGTTTTTTCTACAAGCAGAAGCACCGCCAACATCTTTGGCGTTGCGCCGCGACGTACAAGGTGCGGGTGGCAGAAGAAAAAAAACGAGAAAGTTGCTCGTTGACTTACTCGAGAGATCGTTCTTCTTGGCGTGGATTCTACGAACTTTTATCCTATGCTATTTGAAAGAAACGAAAGCTCAGAGGATCAACGCAAATTATCATCTTCTAAAGAAAGGAGATGCAGTTTTGCGTGTCGTATTTATACAATACACTCGTCAAAGTTTTTATTTTTTCAAAGTTTATCGATAAATTGACCTTTGAAATAATGTAAAATTATAACAGACGAGATGCGTTAATTATTCTGAAGATCCTTAAAGAAGCATTTTTAAATTAACCTTTCAAGGTCTACGATCAATTATCTTGAAGAGAGATTTCACGTATCCTTAAATATTATATACCTCCATTAGCAACTGTCTCTTAATCCCCTTTGAATGGAAATGTTACCTTAATTAGAATTAATTCACAGTTCCATCAAGTACAGTCAAATTGTGTTTAAAGGATGAGGAGAAATGAATGAGAGGAAAATCAGCGTCATAGAATTTCATTTAAACATGTTCCTTCCCTGCAGAATTTAAATGTCCTCGGAACCGTTGTCATCTACTTCAAAATGTATTTGTTTAAAAGCTTTCGTATTATTTAAGATTTACTTATCCTATTTTTATTTTGTCCCTATATTCAGATTAATTGAACTAATATATTCATACGATAAAATAGTTTGCTTTTGTTTAGCGAAAAAACATTTACTTAGGAACGTATTGTTGCCATCAATTGTATCTTCGCTAACGAACAAAACTAGTGCAAACTATAATTCTTATTCTCTCCACTGTTTTCTAGCGTTATCAATTGCAAATATTGGCATGTACGATTCATTGAAATGTAAAAATAAAAGAATATAAAAAGCTATTTCGCAGTAGTGCAATGCTTTATTGGAACGTATATTCGTGCTGCGTTACAATTACATTCAACGAAATAGAAAATGAAATGATAAAATATTTAAAAGGATTCATATCACTTACTTAGTTATTTTTAAATAAGACACTAAATTTGAAAATTTATAGACTTTAATAAATATGATAACGGATTATTTGTAAATATCGTAAGAACGATAAAATATTTTAAAATGTTAAAAAATAATGTAAATATGTTTTTACGAGCGTATAAAAATTCTAAATTGCATCGTAGATCGTGTTACATTTTCAGAACAAAAGAAAATAAAAAAAAAGAGAAAAAGAAAGAGAGACACAGAGAGAGGAAACACGGTAGTAAACGCTAAACGAAATAGTAGGATTGTAATGATTTTATCGTTGTATTATATTAGGTAGAGTGAGTATAGAGTAGGGGTTGTGATACGTTTAAAAGACGATCCTATTTCACCCCCGAATGAACGCACTGGAATTGATCGTGTTGACCGATTCGATCCAGATACCGTAGTTACCGTTCTCATCCCATACATGTGCATGACCTTTTGCACCCTTTTTTTATTGTACGCACGCTTTCCTACAGAGCAATTCGTGTCTGGGAAAAGATCGACAGCGTGCTATACCGCCATTTTTTTAATAAAATTTTTAC